AAAAAAAAAAAAAAAAAAAGAAATAGCTAAAGAAATAGGTTAGTGAATGAATGAATAAACATGAGGATCACCAGTCTTGAGGGTTCTTTTGAACCCACCTTCTTTCTCTTTTGAAAACTGGAACACTCGCTTCTACTTTCTTTCTTCCAATACTTCTTTATTATTATTATTATTATTGGGGATTCACTGAGGGTCAAGGATCCAGGTTATACTGATTGCATGTGTTAGGTAAAGTCCCTCTTACAATTGTGTCTTGCCCCCAAGAGGTGTGTCACACACTGAGACCCTGTCCCCCTCCCTCCTTCTCTCTCTGCTCTCCTCTTCCCCCACCCCCATCATGTACTAGTTTATTAATTGTAGTTCATTAATTCCTCATATCAAAATTGAATATGTAGGATTCATGCTTCTCCATTCTTGCAATGCTTTACTAAAAATGTGTTCCACTTCCATCCAAGTTAATACAAAGGATGTAAAGTCTCCATTTTTTTAATGGCTGAATAGGATTCCATGGTATACATATACCATAGCTTGTTAATCCATTCTTGGGCTGGTGGGCATTTAGGCTGTTTCCACATTTTGGCGATTGTAAATTGAGCTGCAATAAACCATCTAGTGCAAGTGTCCTTATGATAAAAGGATTTTTTTCCTTCTGGGTAGATGCCCAGTAATGGGATTGCAGGATCAAATAGGAGGTCTAGCTTGAGTTCTTTGAGGTTTCTCCATACTTCCTTCCAAAAAGGTTGTATTAGTCTGCAGTCCCACCAGCAGTGTAAAAGTGTTCCTTTCTCTCCACATCTCTTCCAATACTTCTTTAATACTCATGAACCCTAAAAGGGTAGCAATTTGCTTACTGATGAGAAAATAGGAGCTTGGGAAAGTTCAGAGATTTGCCAAAGGTGAGAGGCTATTAGAAGATTCCAGCAGTTGTCCGGTGGCTTCAGGGCATCAGTGATGCCCCATCTAGCTTCATACCTACTGAGTCTAGGAAGGCTTCCCACTCCAACAACAGTGGGGAGTTGAAAAATGATGCTGTATAGAAAAGCAGATACATTTCTTATAATATCAACCTTATTCACCAACCATCATTCATTAGTTCATTGATTCAACAAATATGTATTGAACACCAACTAGTGCCAGACAACATGTATTCTGAGTCCTTGGGATATACCTGTTACAAACCCTCCTTGAGTTTAAGTTTTAGTCGGGAGTGGAGCAAAAATAAATAAGCAAACTGATGTACAGTCTATGGTCATGGTAAGGGCTATGAATACAAACACGACAAGAGGCAGAGCAACTATATTTTACACTAAAAAGGTGGCATCTGAGAAAATACTAGGTGAAGAGAAAGATGTGCACATGTCTTGGGACTATTTGCACCAGTGATGATGTGCTGTATTCACAAAAGTATACGTTTCCTTTTAGAAAGCAGGGACCTAGATCATGTGATGAGCTTTCTTGATGTAAACTATCTGATTCTTTCAAGGCGTTTTCATTCATGTATTCACTCACTCATTTTCTTAGCACATACCCGTATTAAGGATCAAAGCTTTTCATTTCGTACATGCCAGGTGGGAGTCAAGGATGAACGAGTGAATGAGGCCTCAGAGAAGCCAGACAGGCACAGGGACAGAGTGTCCATCCACAGAGTGCCAAGAGCTACTGCAGGGCATGTGCGGGGGCTGGAAGAGAACAGCTCAGGTGTATCACCGTTCTCACTTTTAGGGATCTATTTGACTGAAGGAAATATGATGTAATAGCATTACATTCCATAATGATGGTTCCAAAATTTCAAAACCATTGGACCATCTCTTTAAAAGATATCTTTTATAGATAGAAAGTCCAATATATAATATTAAAAGGAGTTGCTCTGGTTGGCACAAAATTGGAGGCCTCAGGACACCTTCAAAAACATGTAACATATTATGAAAGACACTGCCCTAAATATTTGCTATGGCCAAGAACAAGAATCCATCCATTGTTCACTAAAATTTGTTTGTCTTCAAGTGGCTGGGTAAGCCAGATTTGGAGCGCTTTTTAGTCTTTAGTCTATGCCACAGGAACCTTTACCTCTGGCTTGTGTTGAAGGGGATAAATAAGCCTTCGCCCAAAGGAGAACTGATTTGGCTACATTTTTGCTGTCCATCAGAGTCATCAAATCATTTTTATTTATTTATTATTTTCTTTATTTATTTTTGAGACAAGGGTAACTCTTTGTTACCCTCGGTAGACTGCTGTGGCATCATAGCTCACGGCAACCTCAAGCTCTTGGGTTCAGGCGATTCTCTTGCCTCAGCCTCCCAAGTAGCTGGGGCTACAGGGACCCGCCACAACGCCCAGCTATTTTTTCGAAATGAGGTCTTGTTCTGGCTCAGTCTGGTCTCAAACCCTCATGAGCTCAGGCAATCCACCCACCTCAGCCTCCCAGAGTGCTAGGATTATAGTTGTGAGCCGCCACACCTGGCCTCATCAAATCAAATTTATTATAGTTTATATGACTCATAAGCACAATTTAAAGGCTTCATCATATTGTGTTTTTCTATGTCTGGGCTAAGGTCACCATATTTGCATTAAGAATCATCTCTTTCAAACCCACACCATGTGGTCAGCTGGGCATCAGCTGGTTTTGAATGGTCCTGATGTGACTTCTAGAATGTTCTCATTTGAAGAAAGTCCTGCTGCCTTTCTCTCACTGTCGCACATGTACGGATGGACATTGTTGTGTGCTCACAATTCTCGTGCCCTCGTGCTTTTATCCCAGCACGCCACAAGCCAAGGTAGACCTCACACTCCAGCTTGGGGCCTGGCACCCTGCCCTTGCTAACACACTCCTCCCCTTCCTTCTCTCCACAGATGACAGCAACCGCCCAGCCACCCTCCAAGGCCCAGGCTGTCCATATCTCGGCACCCTCGGCTGCTGCCAGCACACCTGTGCCCAGTGCCCCTATCGACCCCCAGGCCCAGCTGGAGGCTGACAAGCGAGCTGTTTACAGGTAAGAGACACCTCAGAGTGTGCAGAGCTCCCGCAGTCCCAGATCAGCAGTGAGGGATGAGCATGACAGCCTAGTGTGGGCTTGGAAGAGACAATGGGATAGCCATTCTCTTCAGCCTCTTTTTTCAAGTCAATCCAAAAATTCCTCAGCTGGCCATAGCAGAGCTGACTCCAGCTTCCTAGAACTATGAGGAATAGGAGACCCAGATGGTGTCTCCCAGGAGCGCCCCTTCCCCTGTCAACTGGGGAGATGAGCCCTAAACAAGCATCAGAAACCTTCAGTTCAGCCAACAGGCAGCTGCCTCCAGGCCCTCTCCTCATCCGGTCTCCCACTGTTACCCTTACTCTCTCAAGCCCACCAAAGCACTGGACATCTGGCTACACCCTTAGGACTCGGCAGTGCACAGCTTTAGCATGCATGAAAATCACTGAGAGCTTGTTAAAATACATTGTCTGGGCACTGGGCTCAGCATGCGAAGCTCACCTAAGTGACGTCAGTAGTAGATCGAGCTATAAGAAGAGGGATATGAATTTTTCTTAAAGCGTTCTGAGCAAATCTGATGCAGCTAGTCCTTGGACCATCTTTGACTCATGGTAGCCTTTGTTTTTTTAGCAATAGGTGTTGGGTGTGACCGCATAGGTTCTGGCACTCTCCCCCAAGATGGGGCACCTGCCGCACCCAGGGCTGGGTCCTGGATGTTGCAGAGGGTGAGGGTGGGGCTCAGATAAATGTCTGTCTGCCTCAGTGAACTCCGGTTCTGTGTATGTAGTTGAGAAGGAAGATGTGGTCACCTGAGAATAGTTCTGAAAGAAGCTCCATCAGGGAGTTTAGTCATCATTTATCCATTGGGAGGCCACCCCAGGACGAGATGCTGGAGTCTCCACTCAGCACTGAGATTGGACCTGGCTCACGGTCACTTGCATGAGCTTTTGTGGTTCTCATGCATCAGCACTCTTGGCTCACCTCTGGCTGGAGGTACACAGAGCAGGTGCTAATGCCCAGAACACGTGGAATGATCCACCAAGACAAATGAATAGGAAGATTGGTTCCTCTCTCACTCCTCCCCCCACCACCCCACTGACAATGCCTTTCTGGTAATGGTGGTGATTAGTGCTGTTATTATCATTATCGTTGGCATTATTTTTAGTTACTCGGATAAGCTGAATGCCTGTAAATATCAATAGTTGGGAGTCCCAAGCAATGGGTCCTGATCCATAGATCCTGGTAGCAGGGGCCTTCTTAGGTCTGGAGGAGGATAAAACACAGGACCTGGCCACCAACTGTGTGCAATGCACAGGCCGAGCCCCACTGCCTGCTGGTGGAGATCACTGCCTGGGGCCCCAGAGTACCTATCAGGCAGACTCTTGGGGGGTAAGTCAGCTTCCTCCAGGGTGGGACAGGCCCCCCTCCCCTCCTTCCTTCACACTCTCTTATTGAACTTACCATTAGAATGTGCCCAACTCCAGGGAAAAGAGAGTGATGTGAGAGGGTGAAGGAATAGACTCTTCCCTTTGTCTTTCCAGGAACCAGGAGCTATGCCCACAAGGAACCCGCACTGTGTGCTCAGAGTAACAGGGGAGGCTTCACTGAGGAGGCAGGATTTGAATTTGGTCTTAGCTGAATAAAGAGACCCCACCAGATGGAGAAATGGAAGTGGGATAGGACCTTTCAGGAAGAGCAGAACCTGTGTGTTCCAGGCATAGCCAGTGCCCAGAGCAGCTGGGTGTGGAGACAGGAGCCTGCACAGTGACCGGTGAATTAACCTGGTCAATGTGGTGGGCTTGTGCTTCTGTGGAGAGCTGCAGAAGGCAGAGGGCAGTAACATGGCCTCTGACAACCTCCTGACAGCCTGATGACTTGAGCTGTGTTCACCATACTCGATTTAGGTCATTGCTACACCAAGCATGGTCCATGGACTAGCAGCTTCCTGTCACCTGGGAACTGATTGGAGATGCAGAATCTTAAGGCCCACCCAGAGCCAAGAATTCCTGATTTGCACTTTCACAAGATCCCAGGGGATTCATTTGTACCCTAAGCACCTTCTCAGAGCCCTGGGGGTGGGACCTAGGTGAGCTTAGATTGTAGTCTAGAAAGCCCCTCAGATTAGCGGTACAGCAAAAGGATTTTGGAAAGCTGGGCTGCAGTCGTACTTCTACCATTGACTGGTCTCTCTGAGCTTTAGTTTCATGATAGAACCTAAGCAGCAGATTTGATAAGAATGAATGAGAATTAATTAGGGTGATGAGTACATTTATAGCCCCAACTCAAGCCGGTAACAAAAACATTGCACTCCCTTAATATTTTGAAATTAAACAACAGCAAAAAGAGTTAATGAGGCAGCCGTGTGAGCAGGTGGTGTAACGGCTGCCACCAAGCAGGTAGGTTTCCTTTGTTCTGTCAACGAGATCCTGGGCTCCAGAGTCCTTCCCAAGACCCGGGCTCATACCCTACCCAGGCCAGATTGCAAAAGAGGTGGGTCCCCACCCTCATGGGAGCTGTCCACCATGGTGTCACTTAAACTATGGCCCAGATCTTCCTTCAATCAACACTTCTCCCCCTCTCCTTACTCCTGGGCTTTATTTAGCTTCTCCCACTGGGTTGACCACCCCACAGCTCTTGACATTTGCTCAAAGTGTGTCTGCAGCTGTCTGACCTTGGAGAGGAAATCCCAGCCAAATGTGGCTGCCCCAGAACTCAGGACAGTGAGCTTACAGCCACCTTGGGCCCGGCTTCCCATCTGTCCAGCAACCCTAGGGTTTTCTTCCATAACCATACCTCTCCCATTAGTACCAGCCATTGCCTGGGGATGACCAGGGAGGGGGCTCGGCCTCCTGTAGGGTTGAGTAATGTTAACTAGATTCGCCTGCCTAGGGCAGCCTGGCTGTTACAAAGCACATTAGGGAGTCCTCGTTTCATGTCAATAAGTATAACCAGACCCTTTCTGTGGTGATTAGTGCCCCAGCACTGACTTTTGGGAGGCCCAGCCTTTCCCAGAACCATAGATGAAGGAAGGCTGGGGTGGCCCTTCATGCCTAGACCCCTGCTCAGTGGCAGAGGGGCAGTGGGACAGAAGGAGAGGGAGCCTGCCACCCCAGGGAACCTGTTTGTGTATGAAGATGCATTAATGGAATGTCCTGGTTCCCTTCTGATGTGGAAACTATGGGAGTAGGGGAGGAGTGGAGGGCTGAGTCTGTCTTTAATTGGATCATACCAGAGCATCATCTAAGCTTATCAGCCAGACAACCAAGAGCTCTTGCTCAAATTCATGATTCCAGTCTAATCCAAGCAGATCCTGTGATTGGATGCACATCGTGGGTAATTATGTTTGTGGCCCAGGAGCAATGCTGAGAAGGGGTCTGAGGACTGGATGCCTGTGAGGAGGGACCACAGGCTGGGACCCAACTCTGTTCTCACTTTCCCCAGCCCCCTCCCCAACCCTGACATTTTCCCCCAAAGAAGTTCACACTTAGCTTGAGCCCCAACACCCCCCCTGCCCATGCTGGTGACCAGTGGCCAGGTGTTGCTGTCTGGGGGTGAAAGGGAAGGTTGTTAGGAGCACAGAGACAAGGGTTAAGAAGGTGACATTAATTCAGCTTTCGCTCACTGGCTATCCCCCACCCCTCTGGTCTCCTTCATTCCCTTTTGAAGTGAGTGGGTTCCCATGGAAACCAGGGTGTCCTGAGGAGCAGAGTAAGGGTCTAGGCCTGGCAGGACTGGTAGGGGGGGAGGTAGACTCTTCTCTGCTAAGGTGGTGGCTCTCCCAAATCTGACTCAATGCACTGAGAACCCAGGAAGTATTGAAAAGAAAAGGCTGGGCTGGAGGCATGAATGGTGAGGAAGTGGCATGAGCAGGTGTGCTTTCCTCTCCAGCAGGAGAGCCAGAAAAGGGAGCTGCAGCAGCAGGTGGGTACGAGGAGGCAGCTCTGGGCCCTGCATTTCTCCTTTGAGGCATAAGCCACTGTTAAGGGTGTTCACATTTGTGCTAACACTGTTTCCTTCCTGCTCTCCCTGTCGACTTCATGAGGACAGGGTCCAGTTCTGTCTCACTCAGGGCTCTCTCCGCAGCACCTTCCCCACACCTTAGAATAGGCAGCTTAGGCAAAGTTGGTACTGAAGTCAAACCTTGTGGCATGGCGTCATTAATTAGGCCAGATCCCACAAATATACCGTAGTTCTAGGTTGATGTGCTGGCAAATGGCTCTTGGGGGGAGGGGAGGGGAAAGGTCTGATTTGTGGCATTTGCTGATTTTTGTGGTGTCCGTGCTCCCACCATGGCTCTTGTGATGCCACTGAACAGAGTTGAATAGAGAGGTGTGCAGTTGGCTTTCGCCAGGCTGAAGGTACAAACCCCACAGTGGGAGCCAGGTCTCTACTGTCAAACAGGTGAGCTGCTTCTTTGGAATGGTCCTACGGAGACCTCTGGCCGCGATCCTACATTCTCAGTCCTCACTGTCCTGTCTGGTCTACCCCTGGCTTTTAAATATGAAATATTCTCTAAGCAAATTAACACTTAGAGCAGTGGCTGCTGTGGAGTCGGTGCTTCCTAAGGGTCTGCAATGATGGTTTCCCACCTGAACGCCACAGCGGGAAATTTTCTCCTTCTTAGACTCCGCCGAGTCCTGGCTCTTTCCATCTGCTTTGAGCAAAGCCCCGCCTTCACTCCCAATTCTTCACCTTTTCCAAGTTGCTTCCAACCCTTCCTTGGAAGTTTATCAGTGAATGAACTCCTCCCTGGCAGCTGCAGAAACCCTGCCTCAGACCACTGTCCAGCCCCTGCAGTTTCTAGAAGCCTGACCTTTCTGTGCTGCTGAAATGGTTTCTCACTTCAGTCTCATCTCCTATGCCAGAAGCTCAGCGCTTCTACCCCGGAGACCTCACACTGAAGTCCAGCTCTAGTTTGATAAAAGCCATATGCATTTCTGAAGTCCTGTTTGTATCACACATGTTTCTGTCTATCCAGACTGAGTTCCTCTAGACTCCACACTTATTTGGGGAAGGAA